AATAAAGACATTAACGCGGTTCCTTCAAAACCTCAGACACACTTCCATTTCAGTCCCTTCCTCTCTTACGTTCATATCTCCTCCTCCTCCTCCTCTTCTTCTTCCATTTAAACTGTGGAACCATTCATGCTTAAATGGCAACACAGGAACAGAAAACTGTCGGTTTTCTCTCTCTCTTTCCTTCCTATAGTAAATGAGATCCCAAAGCCCCCGAGGAAGACGCTCCAGAAATACATGGCATGGCCAGTTTGTGAACGCATGCATGCATGCATCACACACACACACACATAAATACACACACATAGATATACACACACAGATGTTTGTGTTGACAGAACCAGTTCACCACTTGTCAAAGAAGCTCCTCTCCTGCTCTTGGTGGAAAAACTCTCTCTGGATTTTCTCTCGTACTGAGATGATTTTTCAAAAATGGAAAAAAAGACATTGATTGCATTCATATTTATTAATTTTTTCGTATTAATATTAAGGAACTATACTTGATTCGTTTAGTTTCTCGCAGACCGATTCAATTTTTCAACAACTCAAAACTCCCGTGTTTGCTTAAAGGTGTAAACCCAGGGAAACAGAGGTCACATGACCCCAGAGTGAGCGCCATGAATGTTTGACTGGAAACCAGTGTGGTGGGTTCTGGGGGTGGGAGTTGCCTATAGATGATAAAACTACTATCTACAGCTGTAGGGTTTAATGTCCCCTCCCCCATTTCCACTGTAGTTGTCCTTACACTGAACATACAGCAAACACACACACACACGGTCACCACTCTCTCTGATTACAACCTGCATCGTGCGATCAGCATGTCTTCCTGTTTCATTAATAAGGTGAAAGGCAGACAGAGAGACAGACAGACAGACAGAGAGACAGACAGACAGACCTCTCCCTGATTACAACCTGCATCGTGAGATCAGCATGTCTTCCTGTTTCATTAATAAGGTGAAAGGCAGACAGAGAGAGAGAGACAGACAGACAGAGAGAGAGAGACAGACAGGCAGAGAGACAGACAGACAGTGACGTCTCTAATCTGCTTTAACAGGGACAGCCCTGCTATAATCTCTATTAATTCCAAATTGTTCACCAGCCTCTTCCAGCCTGTTACTACAGACTACAGAATGGAGCGTGTACTCTACTGTACACATCAACCCACATATACAGTACACAGTACTGACGTTCAAACCTTTATCAGTGATGACTGAAGTATAATACTGTAACAATGCCAACTGCTGTCAGAGAAATTTGAGGCTACGTTCAAGAGGTTTTATATTTGACCAAATGTATTTAAAATGGCAAATTTCATTTTGTTAATTGATGTAATAGATATTTATATATTGGAACATGTTTCCAGAGAACCTGCAGTTTTCCAAAACAACAACAAAAAAAACTATTGTTATTGACATAATTGCAAGATAGAAGCAGTGACTATATGACAGAAATCCAATGCTAATTTTTTTGGGGAAAAAAAGAAAATAAGAAAGATGGAAAAAACAGCAGAAAAACAGCAAATCTTAGGTTAGTTTACATTAGCATCGAAGCTAAATAGCCTAATAATTACCGAATGCCTAAAATATGAAAACGAAAATAAACAGACACCGTTTCTTTTAGTAGGTGTTTTAGCATTTAAGCTATGCTAGCAAAGTATAAACTTCCAGGATAGATAGCATAGCTAAATATCTGCTATTTGTTTTTATCTTACAGCAATTGTTAGCTTTTAAACTCTGCTACTTAGCACGCTGCTATGGAAGTAGTTACACACATAGCAATGCTAACACTGAGCCAAAAAAACAAACAAAAACAAAAACAGGCAACAGGAAATGAAAAGCCAAAAACCTAATAAATCAAAAACTGTAACTTAGTGTTTAGTGATTATCTTTTCTACTTAGTGCATGACGCTACTTGTCGCTCAATTTTTAATATTAGCCTCCACTTCCTTCATATCAGAAAAAAGTCTGATCTCACTTCCTGTCTGTTCATGGTGGCCTGGTACAGAACAGGAAAAAAAAAGTTGTAATTCAACAAAATATCTTTAATAGATATAAACATTTGTACACATCACAGCTCAATGGAAACAGAGTTACATGCCGTCACACATGTTAAATATAAAGGTGCAGGGACGATTCTCTGTGTGCTAGGGGCCGGGGACTCTTTCCAACACAGTGCAGCCCCTCGTCTTACCCTCTGTCCATCTCTTATATTGCTACTGTCCACTCTCCACTGCAGCCAAGGCCAAAAAAAAAAGCACATGTAAATCAAAAATAATCTTGGTGCAAATTCCGACTAATATCAAACTCTCCTTATATACAGTTGCACAGTATTCAGGTACAAAAGGAAACGGGTGGAGTATGAGGCTGAAACAGGGGCTCGGGGTTCAGAATGTGGACCACATCCAAACTGGGTTTAGAGGCCGTGGGTGGAACCGTCAGGATTTTGAACATTTACTCAGTGAGCCGTACCGATTTAATCTGGAGTAAATTAAGGATCAGATTAAGGAGTAGGTGTGGGTGGGTCGGTTCCATGTACTAGTTTACATGTAATCAGCTGGAGAACGCTGCAGCAGGCAAGACTGGAATTAGATTTTTCTATATGTTTCTATAAATAAAAAACCTCTCTCCTCCTCTGTAACCATTGTTAAGGTAAAATGGTCGATATTTTCACGTCGATCTCTGACCGAGTATGGCAGCTTTTTTTTTCTTCTTTTTTTTTACTTGGCCGTCGTCTTTGTCATATATATATTTTTTCATATCATGAGAAAATGACATCATATATTTACAATACTCTAAATATCAGTGGTTTTCTATATTGATGGCACCCATATTATTCTCTTTAACAATATAGTTTGTTTGTTTGTTTGTTTTTTCCCACCAGCTTTTGTCCAGCAGTCCCGTACAAGTCGGACTGGTTTGTAAACCCTGTGGAAATCCATATATTTGACACACAGGCCTCACAGACAGGCACTTGACCTCTGTATATTTACAGTATGTGCTACCCAAAATCGCTGTCCGTGTCTATCGCCTCACTCTCACGCACGTTTTGGTGAGCAACAATAATAAAAAAAGTCACATCGTCAGTGCTGCTACGGTTTGACTGAAATGAAAAATAAAACACACAGTGTGGAAGAACGGAGTCCTAGAAAGCGTTAACCCGGGAACTCTTTTCGCCAAACCCGGGATGAAGGAATTTCAAACTGCGTTGCAGATATTTTTAATTGGAACTGCGTTCACTGATAATTAGGTTAGCTGCGCGGCTAAATCACTGCAGTACCTCTGAATCCCCTCAGGGAACATCTTTTATTTCTCTCTCTCTCTCTGGCATGCAGGGAGAAACCAACAATCCATTAGATTGGACACAGAGAGCAGTTTCATCTTTTATGGTGGGGGGTGCAGCT